GACAAGCCCTGCAAAGGTCCTAGAAGCATTGTCTGAGAAGATATACAAACATACATCATTATTAGTACAATGCAATCAAGCGTGACTTCTGAAAACACTGCCATAGACAATACTTTCTTTGCCATCAATAAAGCTGGTTTACATTAATATAGCAAAAAGTTAAGTAGAACATAAACGAGGCAATCATTTTGGTACTGCTTCTATGTTTACCAAACAGCGCAGCGTTGAGTGGGGTTCATGGCACTGCCCTCTTTACATTTGAAGGCAGCAGCAAACTCGGGTTGATTGGTTAATACTTGATTGACCCTAAAATGTTGCTTATAGGTGATTCAGCGACATTCTCTGACTTCTTTACCGATAACTTGGTGGAGCATGCGGGTCGGTAAGAATTCTATTAATTAGCTCGTCATTTGTCATATGCCCGCACCAAATCTAAATTGAGACTCTTGTGTCATACTACTACTCTCGTGTAAGTGTTACCATAGCATATCCTAAGAAGAACATTTGCTCGTTGTTATACTGTTCTAAGCCTTTGATTCTCTCTTCTTCTCCACCATGCTTTTGCAGATAAGCTTTGTAAGCCTGAACAGATGCATTTGAATAGTAGCAGGAGAGATCTGCGGTGTTACCCTGTAGGCCTGCTTTACACCACCATTGTCGGCAATATTTTCTCCTTGCGTTAGTTTGCCGTTGATTTTGAGACCAGTTCCAGGTACCTTCAACGACATACTTTGCCAGCAACGTGATAACTTTTTGTAGAGCTCTGCTAACTTCAATGTTCCCGTATTGATTGATTATGCACTGAGCTCGATTCTGAAACTTTTTCTTCACGTCCTCATTCCACCACTCGCGAAGATTACCGATAGCGTCAAACTGACGTCCTAAAATGACTTGTCGGAGGTATGTAGAGCTAACCAGATCAAATGAGAATTTTTGGTCAGGTCTTTCCGACAGAAACGAAAACATACCTTGGTCATCGAAACCATGTGTAATTTCATGGCCAATAACTGCTCCTATTCCTCCATAATTTAGAGCTCTGCAAAGGCGATAATAAATTGCTATTGCGAATTGGAGCTGTTTTAATGCACAGAATAGCATGTCTTTGCCAGCAAATCCAAAAAGAATATCTAGTACCTATCACCCTTAGCATCAAAGGCAACGTTTCCTCAAATCGGGGTGTACCCAGGTCACTGCGTTTTGATGGTAGGCCTCCAGACTAAGCGAACGGTGAAATACGCAGCAAAAAGGGTGTTTGGGAGACCTGAAACTCGTCTCAGAAGTAATCCGAACCCCGCCCCTTTCCAGACTTCGCTCACCTCGACACCGAAGCCTAAGGCTTCCTTCATGCTACGCCGCAAGCTACGGCACCCTGCCGCAGTATGCGGCGTTGTATGAAGGAAACCCAAGGCTTGGGTGAAACAGGTGATGGGCGGAGTCTGGAAAGGGGCGGGGTTTGGAAGACTTCTGAGACGAGTTTTAGGCCTCCTAAGCACGCTTTTTTGCTGCGGATTTCACGCTTAGTTTGGAAGCTTACCATCGCAACGAGATCGCAACCAGTGAGATCTAGGTACATCCCAGTTTGAGGGTACACTGCCTTTGAGTAATTCAACGTGCCTGTTTGTACGGCTACTCATCAAAAGGTCTTTTTTGAAAGCTATCTTGGCAACTCAAATCAGCCATGCAATTCGGTATATTTGCAGTCGAAAAAAGCAAGTTTTCGAAAAAAAAAGTCATATGGCGTTTTCTTTCTGGAAAGATCGCCATTTGCGAAGTGGCTTTTTCGCATTTCTACATACTTGCAATGCTATACGTGCAACAAAAATATCAGTGTGCTTCATAATTATCCCGTGACTTTCACATGACGAAACGCTAATGAGCTAGTAACCTCGGAAAGTTATGGTGGAAGAACGGAGCTTGAAGAATGGCAGCAGGAAATTCTGAAAATAGATAAAAGGCAAAAGCAAGCAAAAAA